TTGTACGTGATGTTTTGGATGATAACCCTGCAGATATGTTGACCAAAGTTGTTTCAGGAGTAAAATTTAGTCATTGTTTGAAGCTTTTGAACATCCTTCAGTGCTTAGGCCTTTGGAGGCCATTTGGGTGAACTACGTTCAGCTTGATTCCTTGGGCAAGAGGATATGTAGGCAGTCTTTCAGATGCAGCCGGTTTGATCTGCTGATTCAGATGGGGGGAGATCGCGTTTCAGCTCTAGATTGGTTCCCTGACTTGTTAAGGGACTATTGGATGATTTGGTGTCAGCTCAGTTTTGGTGGAAACATTCGCCGAGGTGGAGAATTAAAGGAATACAGGAAACAGCAGAAGAATCAACCAGGCAGACTGGCGGTCGACCGTCGCGGTCGACCGCGAACGTGCACGAAGGCCAGTGGGATTCGGAGCTGATGGCGGTCGACCGTCGCGGTCGACCACGGATGACTGTAATCGATTTAAGTCTCGGGTTTGTAGTTCGGTCGACCGTCATGGTCGACCGCGAACCTGCGCGGTCGACCGTAAACTGTATTGGGCTGGGCTTTTGGTTTTTGACCCGGTTTGTTTTTGAGTTGATATATAACCCTAAACCTAATTTGTTAGGGTTAAGCAAGGACAATTTTGAGCAGTCTTTGAGGGAGGATTATTGCATCCAATTGTGGGAGAGTTGTGAGAGATCTAGAGCTTTGTTTTAGGGTTTGATCAGTAAGATTTGTAACTCACTTGTATTCTCTGATTTCTAATAGTAAGAACTCCCCCTCCCCCCCCCCCCCCCCCCCCCCCCCCTTCCTTGCCCCGTGGACGTAGGCAACTTGTCGAACCACGTAAATCGTTTGTTCTTGCTGTGTTTGTGTTTTGCTTATTGGTTGTGGTTTATCTCGAGTTATTGTTCGGGTTGCACAAGAAGCTTCCGCCGCGCACAACAATATTAACCCGTTAAATAAGTTTTATCATAGCCATTATGATCAGTTTTAGTATTTGGGAATAACAATGATTTTAATTATTTTCTTTATAATTAGAAGGGTTAACTCTTAATTTTTCTAAATAGGAGTATTAGTAAACCACTCATTTTGAGGGGTTAACTCATTTTAATCCCTCCAGAGAGGTTGGGTTAACCCTTCTATATTTTTTATGTTTGGCAAATTATGAAGGGTTAACTCACTTTAACCATTGTATAGATTTTGTGTTTGGCGAGTTAAGAAGGGGTTAAGTCTTCTTAACCCCTCACTTAACTGTTTGCCAAATGGTACCTTAAGTGCTTTGATGTGTTGTTAATATGTGCCAAGATTGTATGTGCACAATCAAGTTATAGTATAGTACAATGTCGATCCCACGAGAAAGGTGTGTAGGATTTTTTTAAAAATCCAATCCTAAAGTTATGTGTGGACAATTAAGAGTGAAATATGGAGAGATAAAGAGAGTAGATGATTATTTGTAAATAAAAGGAAACTAGAACAAGAGGAGAGAAAGATATTGACCAAATAAAATAGAAGCAAAGAATAAAAAAGAAAATAGAGAAGAGCAAAATTATGAAGAAAATTCAAAAAGAGGAAAAAGAAAAAGCAACAAAGAGGAAACAAAAAGAAATAGGATAACAAAAGAACTAAAATAAAAATAAAAATAAAAATAAGAAAAGAGGAATCAAGTGAGAAATCAATTTAAAAATGGTGAGAAAATTAAGTGGATAAGATAGGAATCTAGAATTTTAATCCACTAGTTTATTTTATTTATATTTTATGAACTATTCTCTTTTTATCATATTTTACTTTAGATATACTAAGCATAGGCTAGAAATCACTTAAGGAAAGCATAACCTATCAAATTATCATCCAATCGAAATCAATATTCATGAAAAGAATAACAACTAGATAGTAATTCTAGCATTTATAAGCATAACCTATCAAATCATTTAAGATAAGTATAGATTATTAAAAAAAATTCTACCAATTAGTTTTCTAGTTGATTGCCCTAAACATGATTGTTTTAAGCATAAGAGAGCAATCCAAAAATTATAAAAGAAACAAACTAGTTTTATACAATTCTAGAATTCATACAAGATTTTAGTTAAACATTTTGAAAAATAAAAATAAATAAATAAAATCTAGACTAGAAAGCATGAAAGGAAGAGAATAAAAATACGAGTAAAATAAAAACTAATTATAAAAGTAAGAACAAGAATAAGAAAATAAAGATCAAAACTATAAACACAAAAGAAATCTGACTAACAAAAATAAAAGAGCATAAAAGTAAATCTAAACTACAAAAATAAAAATGCACGAAAGTAAATATATACTACAAAATAAAAATATTAAAAAAATAATAAAAAGAAAAGAACATGAAAGTTGATCTTCTCTACAAGGTATCAAAATAAATCTAATCTACTAGAATAAAAGGAAAAAGAAAAGAAAATCCAAAAACATGAATTTCTAAAGTAAGAAAATAAAAGAGAAAAATGAAAACTTACATTGCATGGCCCTGGCCCTTTAAAAGTAAATCTTCATCTTTATTTTCATCTTCATCTTTATTAATCAATAAAGAAAAGAAAAGAAAATTTTAAAGAGGTGAATTTTTTATTAATTGTAAATAAAGTTTACAATTTTGGAATCTTCTCAATTAAGAGTAACCCTCCTCTTCAAATAGAGTTTTACAAAAATTTTCACACTCAAATCCCTTACCATATTTATAGCCTACAGGAAATAATGAGAGTTATTGGATTTGAGTTGGGCTCCAAGGATTAAATCTTAACCACAAAATAATTTAGTTACGAACCAATTGGTTGGCCAATCGGTTGGTGAATCGATTAGAATCTCAAAATTCTAAAAAATACAGATAGCTCCATCTCATCAGGATAGATAATTTTTATATATCATATATTAGATTATGCTTTTCAAATTGGAAGATAATGTTGTTTCTTTGCGGCTTATCATTCTGAATATGAATTTGATTTAATTACCTTTTATTTTGTATACTTGTTTCTTGTGCTTATATTGGCTTCTTAGCTTGACCCTGGGCTTCAACAAAAAGTTAAAAAATAAGAAAATATGAGCTCTTTTTAAGCTCTCTTATTCGATAATTCTTTATTTTCTGCAGATCATTGTATGAGGTACCACCTTTAGGAGTTTAGCCCAACCAACAAATGTTAGCAGCTGCATAATCCGTGTGAGTTATTCAATCATCATCATGCATCTCTCCAAAATCATATTGAAACATATCTTTGGTGTTTTAAAGTTCAGGTGCACTATTTTCAAGGCTCAACCTCCTAGTTTTCCAGAGGAGACACAAAATAGTAAGCCATGAGATTGTATTAATCTGTATAACTTTCGAGATTGGAGAACTCAAATAATAACTTTAAACTTTTGATCTTCCTCCCGTGGCACCGTGCGAAGTTGCGCTACTTGATGCTCATTTCATTAAGGATGACAATTTACATACTTAATAGACACAATAAACGGTTGCAGTAAATTGGAGGGAACAAGTGGCGCATACTATGTGGGAGGACGGAATACACATATCCCAAGAAGTCCATATCAAAGTTATTCGACATTAGACTATATTTATAATAATTCTGATTTAATTTAATAACTATGACTTCCTCTATTGTAATGGTTAAAACTTTAACTTATCCAGACAGTTCTTCTTTAAATAATAATCAAATAACTAATACATGTCAATTATTGTAATAATAATTTAATTTTAACTTAATCCATACTTAACTACAAATAAATATTGCCAATACATTATAGTAATTAATATACATTAATTAGATTATTATTTTTAAGAAATAATTAAGGTATATACTTTAGATAATGTAGAATAATTAGATAATTAATATAATAAAAATATTGTTCATATTAATTATAATTAAGGCAAAAAATATTTGAAGATTAATTTAAATATTATTGTATTAATATAATAATATTTTACTAGTGAACATAAGGTAATAATAAGTTAATTTTGAACTTAGTTGATACATAAATACATATTTTAAAAAGATATAATCAAATCAATCGCTTTAAATTGTCTTATCATTCCATTTTATAATTTTATCCAACTTTAACCCAATTTATATCACTCTTGATGGTCACAGATTAAAATTATCTCACCAGGACAATAATCGTAATCTAATATCTAATACTATTATAAAAGTGTGTTGCCATGTTAAAACATTTCTTTCAACAATGCCCTCCAACATACATATATGCACACACAAAATACATGCATGCATACATAAGTCATTCATCTTTAAATCCTTCAAATCAAACACGTGTACATACATAAACTATATCCCTTCAAATTCTTCTCATAACCCTAAATCTTATCAAATCAAATTAGGTAATTATTAATTAAATGCATATGACATTTAGTATAGTTAGATATATTTTTAAAACTATAATACAACTATTATTTATTGAACAGTGTTAAATATATCTAAGTTATACTAAAATTTAGATATTATTAATAACTAATAAACTTTAAGTCTATATTATATTACCCATTATATTATAGTCAAACATGTCCTATACTAAAATATAGTACAATATATTATCTATAGTATAACTACAACTTGCATAGCGTAGCATGCATTTTTAACAGGCAAAAAAAAAATCAACAAGGGCAAAAGAAAAAAATTGCACTATGGTGAAAGATTTCAGACCTATTAGTCTTATCAATTGTATTCTCAAGATCTTCACTAAAATCTTGGCAAATAGATTATCAAATCATATGCCATCCTTAGTTGCACATACCCAATCAGCTTTTTAAGCGGGCAAATCTACTCTTGATTCTATTCTACAAGCAAATGAAATGAAACACTCTTGTTCAAAAAGGAAAAAAGAAGTTGCTATGTTCAAAATTGAATTTGCAAAGGCCTTTGATTCCATAGATTGGTTTTTCCTTGTTGACCTGTTAAAAGCTAGAGGGTTTGGTTGCAAATGGTGTTCTTGGATCTCTAATATTATATAATCTTCCAATTGTTCTGTTCTTGTCAATGGCTCACCATCTAAATTCTTTTCTTGTAAACGTGGTCTCAACCAATTGTTCTGTTCTTGTCAATGGCTCACCATCTAAATTCTTTTCTTGTAAACGTGGTCTCAAACAAGTTGATCCTCTTTCTCCAATGTTATTCAATGTTGCTGTTGATGTCTTGCATAAAATGATCATGAATAATGTTGAAGAGGGTCTTTTATCGCCTCTTGGACTTCGGGAACCTCTCAACCATTTAAGAATACTTCAATTTGCCGATGACACACTTCTCTTTGTTAGAAGCTCTTCAAAGGATATCTCCATTCTTAAAGCTATTCTTTATCTCTTTGAGGACATTTCTGGCTTGAGCATTAATTATTCAAAATCATCTCTTATATACTTTGGAAGGTCTTCTTATAAAGCACATAATCTTGCTTCTTCTCTGGATTGTAAAGTTGAACATTTACCTATCAAATATCTTGGCCTACCTCTCAAATATGGCAAACTTTCAAAATCAGACTGGCAACCCTTGTTGGATAATCTCTTTAGAAAGTTAGCATCCTGGAAGAAAAACACTTTGTCTTATGGAGGAAGGCTAACTCTTCTGAATTCAGTTCTCACATCAGTCCCTCTGTATTTTTTTTATCTTTCTATAAGCTACCAAAATGGCTTGTCAAAAACAAAAACCATCAAATGTCTAGTAAATTGGAAAAAGGTTTGTTTAAGTAAAGAAGAGGGCGGTTTAGGTGTCAAGGACATTAACTTGTTCAATGACTCCTTATTATCTAAATGGTTATGGAAATATCTTGATAAAAACTCATCAACAGGTCTCTTTATCCGCAAACTATATGGCATTGAGGGTTCTTTGTTGCAATCCAGGAAATACAATGCATCAAATTCACATTTTTGGAATGCTGTTTTATCCTTCAAGGATGCTTTTCTCCATAATGTCAAGTGGTCAATTGGCTCTGGAGATAATGTCAGATTCTGGAAAGATAAGTGGATAGGGTATAATACCCTTGCTAGTATTTTTCCTGAATCCTATAGATTAGCCCTCTCCTCTAATGTCTCTGTCAAAAGTCAAGGAAATTTCTATGATAATAAATGGCAATGGCACTTGTTGATGAGAAGAAGTATCTCTCCTGGAGCTCAAACAGAAAAAATGAGTATTCTCAATCTTATCAATAACTCAGACATATCTCAAACCTATAATCAACCTCTTTGGACTCTTACTTCTAACATGCAGTTCTCTATAAAGTCCTTCTACAGTTTTCTAAATCAAAGAGGAATAACCAACCCACTATATAAAGTTATCTGGAATCCTATTGTTCCCTCCAAAGTTCGTATCTTTCTTTGGCTTCTTACAAAGAACAAATTGCACACAAAAGATGTTTTACATCTAAAAGGGTGGACTGGTGACTTAACTTGCTCTTTTTGTGGTTTGGAACCTGAGTGCAGAGATCATTTATTTCTTTCATGTCCTATAACCATGCAAGTTTGGGATCATTTCAGGAAATACTTCTTACCATTCAATTGGTCATTTGCTTTGGATGAACTCTTGCTCTGTCTTGAAATTTTACATGAACCTAAAGGGCTTCTTTGGCGTTCTATTCTTGCTTCAGTTTGCTGGAATTTATGGTTAACAAGAAACAAATGTATTTTTGATCAAGCTCAATTCTCCTTTAATTCTATTATTAATTCTTCAATATCTGCCCTGTATGATTGGGTAGGCTCTACAAGAGGATCGGCATCACAGAAGCTTAAAGTCAAATTGGAGGAAAAACCGATACCAAGAAGCATATGATATTTCAGAAGTGTTGTGATTGAGATTTGTTTTGGGAGCTTTTGTATTCGATATACTCTTTGATCTTTTCTTTTGTGCTATTGGGTTATAGAAAGTTTAGTTTCTCTTTACTACATATATGGCTGGCTTTTGTTCTTTCCTATATCTGTGTCTACGGTGAATGACGGCAAGGCCCTCTCTTCACCTTTATGGCTGGCTTTTGTTCTTTCCTATATCTGTGTCTACGGTGAATGACGGCAAGGCCCTCTCTTCACCTTTATGGATGTTTGAAAGAAGAAAGTCTTATATCACTTGTTTTGAGAAACTACTTTTTCTATCCTCCAATCTATGGATACACCTTGTATCCTACTTTTGTAGCAAATCTTGGTTTTTAATATAATTGACAGGGTATATGCCTTGTTTTCTCTCAAAAAAAAACTACTAACTATTCAATTCACTAATGAAAAAGGCATCCCCACTATACTATCATTTTCATTAGGTTATTAAAGACAAACCCATTAATCCCTTTATTAAGCTCCCACTGCTGTTAAGCATTTCTAACCTCTGCATAAGTAAACATAACCCACATAATCAAAAGAGGAAGAGAACACAACCGTCTTAACAAAACAAATGTAGATAAAAAACCATCTGACCAAATTCATTGACATTAATCATCATTAACGTTATAAGAATTAATGCTAGAGTTATTGAGTGTTTTTTCTTTATGAGAATTAATGACCTAATGAAACGGTTGTGTTTAGTGGACACCTAACATTGAAGTATTAGTATCAAATAATAGTATTAGAGTAAATGTCTTCACCCTCTTGCCCTAATAGAGTCAATCAACTTGCATATTACAATTATTTGCCTTAATTGAGTCTATCAACAAAGCGTTATATAACGAGAATCTTTTCAACTTTTTCTAAATTATTCCTTTACTTAGTCTTTCCCCATTCTATCTCTATATAAACTACTAAAGGTCCTCTCAACCTGGCAAATTATATTCACTTATCTGATTAAAAGAGCTTTGCTACGGGGACCCAAAATATGGGACCAATAAAAGGGACAAGTGAGGTGTCCCCTTCTTATTGGATAATGAGTTGGTCATCATTAATGATGGCCAACTCATTATCCAATAGGAGGGGGACACCTCACTTGTCCCCTCTATTGGTCCCATATTTTGGGTCCTTGAGGAATTTTTCTTTGAAGAAACTTTAGGATGCATGCATTAATGGCTCCTCGATGATTAAAAGTGTGAGTGCATGCGCGCTAGCTTCAGCGCCGAGCTTGACCTTAGCTAGTCGCCTCTTTGTCTGCTAATGCCTGTGCTTTTGCATCTTTGACCGTCATTGCTTTGTGTCCCTCTTACATTAATTTGGGTATGGTGACAAACCCATTAATCCTCTTATTAAGCTCACCACTGCTGTTATGCATTTCTAACCTTTGCATAATAAGTAAACATAATCCACATAATCAAAAGAGGAAGAGAACATAATTGTCTTAACTGTTGTGTGCGGCGCGGAAGCGGGACAACCAAACAGGCGTGCATCGAGAACCAAATCAAACAAACGTCGAAATAAAGGCCAAACAAATCAAAACAACAGTACAAATCCAAACACAATAGTTTTACGTGGTTCGGCAAATTGCCTACGTCCACGGGGTAAAAAGTGGATTGGGTTTTCACTAATAGAGAAGAAGAGTACAAATTGAGATTACAAAATGCTCAAACCAATCAACTAATCTCACAAACAAATTTCTTAATCTCTCCAAATAAACACTCAAATAATTGCTCAGAAAAACTCTCCTTTTTCTGTGCTCTAAATATCCCCAAACCAATCTCCAAACAAAGCCAAAGAAATCTTAATTCGTATGTTGGTATTTATAGCAAACACCAAACCCAATAAGAATAGGAAACATAAAATAGGTCCTGACCCAATTGGCGGTCGACCGCCCAAAGCTTGCGGTCGATCACGATCCAGCGACAGAGACTAAATTCGCCTACAGGGTCTCACGATCGACCGAGGCGGTCGACCGTGCCAAATCCAGACTCCTCCCAGAGTCTGTGCACGTTCGTGGTTGACCGGCCTTGCGCTACGGTCGACCGCGCAGCTCCCAAACTGACTCCTGCTGATCCCAACACTTGTTCTTCACCAAACTTCTTCACAGTTTCTTCAAATTCTCCACGTCGGTGAAGTTTCTTCCAAAACTGAGCCGACACGAACCAAAACAAATGCCTCACTTGTTGCGTCCAGTACGTAGTGAAACTATACATGACAACAGACTTAATCCACAACAAGTCGAGACCCAAACTGGAGTGCGAACACTCTCCCAAACGTCGATGTCTCTCACCAAATCAGCTGCATCAAAAACTGACCGCCTACGTATCCTCTTGTGCAAGGAATCAAGGCTTTACATAGTTCACCCAAACGGCCTCCAAAGTCCCTCAAACAAATATAAAAGTCTGCAACTCTTCACCAATATCATCTGCATCCAAATCCAAATGATCCCCTCCCTCAAACAAATATAAAAGTCTGCAACTCTTCACCAATATCATCTGCATCCAAATCCAAATGATCCCCAATCTGTGTCACACCAATATCATCTGCATCCAAATCCAAATGATCCCCAATCTGTGTCACCTCAGCTGGAATCCCAAATGATGTAGTATGATCTGGAGTATGTGGAGTAAACTTCACCTAACATGGAGTAGCATTACCCTCCACCTGCTGCGATATCCAAACGACCTGATCAACACTCTCTACCTATCGAGAATCCAATGTGACATACATGTTCAGAACAAAATCAGAAGCTCCCAACCGATAATTAAATAAGCCTCTAAGTCCCAAACGCGTAATCGGATCAAATCTCACATCCTCAATATGACCAAATGCTGGGTAACCAAATATCCGATGCTAACCAAAATCTGAAGCAGCTCCACTAGATCCAAAAACTCCAAATGCAGCAGTCGGCGACATATGACTAAGATGCCCCAAATATGTCGAACCTCCTAAACCAGAACCAATGCTCGACAACCAACATCGATCCCCCTCCAGAAAGGAACAACCAAACAAAATTATCATCTTATCTCATCGCCATAATGTTTCCTCTCTAATGAAGTGTCTCAAACTGCCATGAGCTCGGCACAAATGCAGAAATAGGTCCCTCTTGTACCTCCTGATAAAATCAGAATGAAGTATCTTCACCTTCTGCCAATACACTTCTTCAACTTTTGTTGACTACTACGACTTCAAAACCAACGGGACTTGGTTGCAACCCACAAATGCCTAGTACAATCCCTAACATACGAAACCAAAATACCAATTTAACTTCCAATGATGCCTCTTTGGAAGGCCCCTAAATGCCTGAATGAATACCAAATAGAAGACCCCTTAATCATTGAATAGAAGTGTCAAACTCCATCTCGGTCTCCTTGCTCATACCAACATGCTCAAAGGACTTTAATATGCAGGTCAAGGGCACTTCTCAATAATCCAATGCACCGTATCATCAAACAAATAACCCAGCCTCAAATCCTTCTATCTCGGACAACTATCTCAAAGCACCAACAAATGAAGAATAGATCCAAACTGATAAAGGAGAGAATTTTATCTCCAATTAAAACCCTAACAAGAGTCTCCAAACGATCTCACCCCGCACGACGGCAACGAGATCCACAAATAGGAAAAATCCCACATTTATCTCCAAACGAAGCCCTTGAAGAGCCTCCAAAGCGATCTACTCCTCCAAATAGCGCAAGCGCCAACAAACCAATGCAGAACAAAAGAAGAATAGATCCAAACTGAAAAAGATAAAGTCTTTACCAAAAAGATCCCACCTTTCTCACCAAACGAAGCCCTAACCGAACTTCCAAATTGATCTACTCCTCCAACCAAGACAAAACCCTAGATCTGGAATCTGGAGCTATGATACCAATTGTTGTGCGCGGCGCGAAAGCGGGACAACCAAACGGGCGTGCTTTGAGAACCAAATCAAACAAACATCGAGATAAAGGCCAAACAAATCAAAACAATGGTATAAATCCAAACACAATAGTTTTACGTGGTTCGGCAAATTGCCTATGTCCACAGGGCAAGAAGGGATTGGGTTTTCACTAATAGAGAAGAAGAGTACAAATTGAGATTACAAAACGCTCAAACCAATCAACTAATCTTACCAACAAATCTCTTAATCTCTCCAAATAAACCCTCAAACAATTTCTCAGAAAAACTCTCCTTTTTCTATGCTCCAAATATCCCCAAACTAATCTCCAAACAAAGTCAAAGAAACCCTAATTCGTATGTTGGTATTTATAGCAAACACCAAACCTAATATGAGCAGGAAACATAAAACAAGTCCTGACCCGATTGGCGGGCGGCCGCCCAAAACTCGCGGTCGACCGCGATCCAGCGACAGAGACCAAATTCACCTACAAGGGTCTCACGGTCGATCGCGCCAAATCCAGACTCCTCCCAGAGTTTGTGCACGTTCGCGGTCGACGGCCTTGCGCCGCGGTCGACCGCGTAGCTCCCAAACTGACTCCTGCGGATCCCAACACCTGTTCTTCACCAAACTTCTTCACGGTTTCTTCATTAACAAATCAAATATAGATAAAAAAACCATCTAACCAAATTCATTGACATTAATCATCATTAACGTTATAAGAATTAATGCTAGAGTTAATGAGTGTTTTTTCTTTATGAGAATTAATGACCAAATAAAATGGTTCTGTTCAGTGGCACCTTACATTAAAGTATTAGTATCAAATAATAGTATTAGAGTAAATGTTTCCACCCTCTTGCCTTAATGGAGTCAATCAACTTGCATATTACAATTATTTTCCTTAATTGAGTCTATCAACTAAGCGTTATATAACGAGAATCTTTTCAACTTTTTCTAAATTATTCCTTTACTTAGTCTTTCCCCATTCTATCTCTATATAAACTACTAAAGGTCCTCTCAACTTGGCAAATTATATTCACTTCTCTGATTAAAATAAAGAAAAGAACTTTTATTAAAAAATATGACGAGAATATTGAAGCTTATATCCTTCACTGCAGCATTCTGAAGAAATTTTAGGATGCATGCATCAATGGCTCCTTGATGATTAAAAGTGTGAGTGCATGCGTGCTAGCTTCAGCGCCGAGCTTGACCTTAGGTAGTCGTCTCTTTGTCTACTAACGCTAGTGCTTTTGCATCATTGACCGTCATTATTTTGGGTCCCTCTTACATTAATTTGGGTATGGTTTCGTTTTGGT